AGCGCGAGAGCGCCCTCTGGCCTTTGGATGGAGATTTACTGCTGATCACAGAACCGTGCTTCACTGAAAGATACGCATGACACTCGCAGCTTCTGTCGAATCGCGATCTCGATTCCATTTCAATTTATCGTGCAGCCCTAGTGGAAACTCAGTATCACCCAGCGCTAGTGATTGCCAAGAGTGCCTCTAGAAATATAAAAATGTGTTTTCTGGCTCTTGTTGTTTTTGTAAAGCATTGTAACTTTAAGTGAATGTTTTGTGTGCTTCATAAATGCTTTAGAGCTGTTGCATGATGCCATACTTGTTGATATCAAGGCCCTTGTCCATTCAGGCTGTTAGACAGAATTCAGGGAAGGACGATTGTTAGGAGACCTTGTGAAAGCTCTCCTTCCTCCACCCTGTATTCATGAGTCTGTAAATGAAGGATGGACAGTCCAAAGATAGCCTCAGGCCACACAAAGAGAGAGGAGTGCTGAGATCTGTCTTCATGCAGATGGTGTGAAGGCAGGAGAGTGCATCAGCAAGGACATGTCTGAACATGCAAGGCACATTCTGGAGGAGACAACCATATAATAGAAAGGCTATGATTTAGAAATCAAATATCTAGCTCTTCCTTTTATCCCATTAAAACCGCTCTCATCTCGAAGCTAATAGCAATGCATGAGCGTCCTCTGCCAAAAGGAGGGAGTGTACTCATTAAATGCTCATTCCACAAAGGTTTTAAGCAATACTCATTTAGAGCATTTCCCCTCAAGGTTTGATGTTTTATCACCATCTGCAAGTTGTTGTTATCTCTTATGAAAACTAGCCAAAAGAACACATCTGATTTAGTTGGGTCGGGCCGCCTCGAACCCCAGGCCACAACAGAGAAAAAGCTTCTTGTCCAAAAGTAGCTTGTTACTGAAGCTTGTGCTTGTGTAAAGATGGCTCTGGTGTTGGGATGTCGGCCATGTTGTTTTGTAGTCAACTCTCACAGGAGTGTGTCAATCATGTTGTCACTTCCATTTTGAATGTCTCCCGTCACTGTGAGGAATTGTCTTTTTTGCGCCTTATAAAGTTTAAACAAACAATGTATTTTCTTCTGTTTTCTACAGTAAAATGAGCTTAAACCTCTTAATTCAAAATATTATGAACAGTGATGACACCTTTGCCATGTTTGCATGCTTATTTGTGATTAGTTGTTTTTCTTACATTTATTTGCATACTGAATTATTTTTCTTGACATTTGACCTTAGTGAGGGTAGGCCAGTGTTGTTATTGTTAACTGAAACTACTAAAATCATTTTTGGTATTTGAAATAAAATATAAATATTAGATGAAAAACTTAAACTGATTTTCAGTAAGTTTCCAAGGCAAGATTTCTAGTTTTAGTTCTAAGCTAAAGTTACAATGAAAAGTAATATAATAGTATATTAATAATAGTAAAGTAACACTGGGGTAGGCATCTTGTTTTTTTTTCTCTCTTAAAAAAGCTGAAAGGACCAGATAACCGGTCTGTTTAACTGTCTTAGGTTCCTATGTCACTTATAATTTTCCACAACACAATTTCCAGAGGGGCTTTTTTCCACCAGGATTTTCCATTGTTGCGTCAGCTAAATATTACAGCCCTTTGAAGTGTACTTCTATTCCTCAGCCTTGTTTTTATTCATGGAAATTAAAAATGCCTTATCTACCTAAGGTTGTTTGTCCAATACATTTCAGTATGCAAATAAAGCATGAAAGAAGACCAATCACAGTTAATTATGCAAATATTAAAAGGCATAATTTCTGTCAGTTATACTTTGAATGGCAATCATTAACAGTGTTGTATGTGGAAATACATATTTGGTTTCTCTGTGATTTTGACGAGAGTGTCTTTCAATCTACTCTGTTGAGGAAAACAGTAGCTGAAAATGGCTTTCTAAGAAATGTGAGTTTGTTTTTCATGGAAGAAGCCGAATGATGATTCTCCATGGCTCATAACCACCTGAAATGATGGTTGTACACAGAAGCGATGGTTTTGATGACACTCGTGCAGGCATGTGGAAGTTGCTGCATGTGTCTTATTAGGCAGACAACAGGGAAGCCCATTACTCTGTTTCTTTTGGCAACAGCATGTTGATGTGGTGGCCAGAGCAATTTATAGTGACGGCCTGCCTGAAATAATCCCTCAGAGAATTTATGACTTCTGACTCAGAGGGTCCGGCCTGTGATTGTGTGTGTGTGTGTGTGTGTAATGTGTGGGTGGTGGGTCTGCTGGTCAGCGCCTAGCAGGGTCACAGTGCATGGCCTGTCTCAGAGGAGTGGCTGTTAACCTTCGACCTCTGTGGTTCAGCCTGCTGGCTAGCGGCGTGGGGTTATGGGGGCTGAAGTCTGTCTGGGGCCAGGGGCACATCGTGGCCGGGGAAGAAGCAGAGAGAGGAAAGGGGGGCATCAGGGCTAATCTTGGTTTTGTCCACAGGGCAATTTCCATCCACTCATCCGTCAGCAAAACAGAATGTTCTTGGGCCTCCAGAACAGCAATAGGAAGTGACTTATTGAAGACAGTAATAACAAATCTCTTTTTCAGATTTATAGTCAGGTGGTTTACTACTAAGAATCACATGGAAATGGATCTTATTGCTGTCAAAAAGTTTGGCCTTGCGTTAAAGCAACATGAAATCACAAAGGCCTCCCTTTTGCATGTGTCTGCCAAGATTAGCTTGTGCATGCAGCCATATTGACTTGGACTCTTAAAAGATGGATGTATTGATTATAAACCTATTGAGGAAGATGTGAAATATGGTGACTGTTTGTTTTAGCAGGCTGATGTGTCAACTTTGGTATCAGCAAATAGCATTTAGTTCAGTTAGTGGTGCAGAAATGACAACTTTTACGTTTTGGAGTACATATAAACTCGAGAAGGCCGTATTTTTATGTGTAGCTTAAAAATCGTTCCTAAAATCACGTTTTTCCCTGCATTGAATGTTTTGATTAGTTAATGGTCTGTATTGAAATGGCCAAAGGTTCAAAATTGTTTTCCCTGTTCAGTAATTTGCTAAACCTTTAAATTTGGTTCCATTTTCTGTGTTTTTACTAGAATATTTGCTTTGCTTTTTCAGGTTAGGTTCTCTCTCTCCAAATGCCCTTATACAAAGAGCTGTCTGTTGGGCTGAGATATGATGTACAGGTCTTGTATGTACCTGATGCCAAGTGTGTGAAAGTGAGTGAGTGATTTGGACGGGGTCCCAGTGGAGTTGAGGGGTACAGCTGGTCTGGGGCCGTGGCAGGGTGAAGGTGCTGCTCTTTTTCAACTTTACAAGCTAACTTCTTGAGACTCCTTATGTACAAAGCAGTAACTTCTGTTTATATATTTTTTGCAAATCTGCTTCAATGCAGGATTGATTAAGGTGTTTGACACCCCACTGATATCTGTTAAAAAGCAGATCATTGCCATGCACAAGATGTCCCATCCCTCACATTAGCACACACTGCCTCTCCTTCCTGCTTCGCATGTGTAAAACAAGCCCTGGCAGTGGTCAGTGACAATTCCTCTTGGACATTTTGTGAGATGGTGATTATTTGTAAGCTCTCAACAGCTCCTCGCTATTTACCCACGCCGATGTGTTCAGCAGATGCTCCGATACGAGTCGTGTCACAGATATCGTAGTGCACATGACAGAATGCACTGCGCCAGTTACAGACAGAGTAGTGTGCATGAGTAAACCCAAGTTTGTCAACCCAGGGGTGAAGCGACCATTATATATAGCTGCTTTTCAAAATTTAGGTGATATTCTGCTACTTTACTGGCCAAAATCTAATTTTAAAAATTGCAACAAAAAAAAAAAAAAGTAAAATAAAAATACCAGTATGCTGTTTGCATCTGTGCTTTCATTCATTAGATTGATCAATCAATTGAATTGTTCTAATCTGTTTTTCAATAAATTATTTACAACCATTGGGTGAGCATTGTCACCTAATTAATATTCATGAGCCATGCTAATATGATTGATTATCATTTCATATTGTTCTTGTGCCCCGATCATCCCTCACAGAAACACAGTGGCCTTCAAAATCATCTAAATTTCAATTAATAAATATGAAATGCATGGAGCCAAATGTAGATCCACATTGAGAAATGGCCTGAAAGCGGGGATCTCTCATCGGTGTGCAGTGTGCTATCCAGAGTGGCCAGTCTCGCTGAACAGCAGCATGGGTAGCCAAACCACCGGTCGGAGTCCAATCCACTGAAAGGACCCTTGTGTTCTCTTGAATTCCAACAACCGCATTAAAAAAAGAAAGAAAAACAAAACATTATTGCAGCTGCGACTTCACAGTCCGCCCTGCTCACACTCCCCATGTTAATGTGACGCCTTGTTTAATCCAGCCGCTCGCTGTCCATCTGTGCCGTTCACTCGACGACCGCAGCTCAGACTTGTTTTCTGATGGGGCAAATCACGAAGAAAGCCCAGGTTCCCTTAGAACTACTGAAACATGCGTGCGTCCACAGGGTCTTAAATATTCAGTTTTTGCTTTTTATCTAGGATGACTGTGGCTTGTCAGCTCACTTTATACTGTAAGCGCATTGTGTTCAGTTCTGTTTTGATTTGTATTGGATATGAGTTTGACGTTAGGTTTTCAGCTTTCAGTTCTCAAAACGTCTAGACATAATTCATTTGATGAAGAATGGGTAAATAAAAGGACTTGCTCTTTAACATCTAAGATTGAAGAGCTTTATTGGCATTGTAAAACCGCTTTATGTTGTCAAAGTGGTAGGGTCCAAAAGTCTGAGACCACTACTAGAAATGCTTTTTCATTTACAAATTACATAGCATAGCAGTGAAAAGTTGGTTTATATCTATACTATAATAATAAAATATTTAAATACAATAAAAATGTAAAAATAAATAAAATGCATAATTTAATAATAAAAATATTAATAGTATATTATTGTTGTTAAAATTGTATAATGGCAAAAAGAAAAACAATGTTTTGTTATACTGTTTACATTTCTTACACTTCTCTCTGTTTGCCTTTTTCAGGAAATCATCTGAAGGTGTGTCCTCAAGGTTTCTCCTGCTGTACTCTGGAGATGGAGGAGAAACTGAGTCAGCAGAGCCGCACGGACGTGAAAGCCCCCGTTCATCAGCTCAGCTCCAACCTGCAGAACACCTTCACCCAGAGACACCGTCACTTTGACCGTCAGTACAGCTCTTACACACATTCACGCATGCAAATCTACCGAATCTGAATGTTTGGCTTGTCAATATTGCGATATTGATCCACTCATGCTGCCTTTCCGTACACTGCTACAATTAGTTTGACAGACACCCCCGACTGCCAGACACACAGTCTATACATCCATTTCTCCACCTGTCCCTCAACATCCCACAGTCATCTGCCATACACACACACACACACACTCTCATGCTTGCAGACAGACCACACACACACACACATGCAGAGGCCTGGGTTCCTCTCTGCAGTGCATGTGGCAGTGAATATCAGGCTGAGAGAGAGGGATCAGGTTTCCCCAGTGTAGGGCAGAGGGGTGCATGGGAACATGCATCGACACTGCTGACTCATTCAGGAGGGGAAAACCCCACAGACGCTATCACACACACTCTCGCCTGGTTTATAATGCATGTTTTATGTGCTCACTTCTCTTCATGCTGTAATGCCATAAAAAGTGTGTCAAATGAGGAAAAGTGAGACAAACTAAAGGCCTGGTCACACGCATCCGGATAGAACCAGAGTTCATCAAGGGTACATTTGAAGGAAAAACATCCCCCTGGGTAGCTGAAAGAGTTAGAATCGAGCCAGGACTGTGTCGGGCTGTTGCCTCTGAGATGAAATGGTGAGATGGTGTTTGGATTGATAGTCAATGACTGGACAGACAAGGAAGGATAAATGAAGTGCTGATGGCACATCTCCCTCACTCACACGTGATTTGTCACCCATCCGCTCTGAGCCACAGCTATTTCTAAATGAGACCCATGTTGACTCGCATGTGGCCATCCAGCTTTACCAAAGCTCTGTGTCTCTGGCAGCGCAGCCGGGCGGTTTTAAATGGACTCAACACAGTCGGGTTTCTGGCAAGTTCTGCGAGAGCTGGGGTGTGTTATGATGTTCAGGGTTGTTTGAAGCATATTCTTAAATGATGTGTAACAACATCTGATGATAATGTGAGTATTTGTGTGGACAAGTGTTGTCAAAATGCTAAAATTTAAATAGTCAATAGCAATGCCAGTGAAATTTTCACGATTCTCTGTTGAGGCATTCTTTATTAATCACAGCAAAAATGAATATGCTATTGAAATACTACTTTTATATATTAAATAAAAATGCAATGTTTTCTTTTTATTGCTATTGATGTTGTTTAAAGGGGTCCTATTATGCTTTTTCACTTTTTCAACTTTAGTTAGTCTGTAATGTTGCTGTTTGAGCATAAAAAAGATCTGCAAAGTTACAAAGCTCAAAGTCCACTTCAAAAGGAGATATTTTATTTAACAGAAATCACTTTTCAAAAACTACAACGAACAACTCGTTTGGACTACAACGCATATTTTCCGGGATTAGTGATATCACAAATATCGACCAATGGGACGAGACCTGGTTGAGCTGCACTAAAGAAGGCAACGAGTGTTATCACAATGTCGGAGACACGCTAGCTTTCCCAAGGCAAACGAACTTAGAGTGGTTACAATCATCCAGGTTTAAATCGCGCTCAAATTGATTTGAATTTGACGCAATATTTACACTGAAGCTCGCAGGAGGCTATGGTAAGGGGCATGACATTTCCCGACCAGGCACCGAGTGCTGCCAATCACAACACACACTGGCCCAGCTAACCAATAACAGCACTTTTCGTATTTCAGAAGGCGGGCCTTCAAGCCGTTCATGCCAGACTGAGGAGAGAGGTGTTGTAATAATGTAAAATATGTGAAAAATAATGTGTTTTTCGAACAACCTAATATGAGAGCC